AAAAATTAATTACAACTCTTCACATTGTGAAAAGCATCAAAGCATAATTCACATCAAACCAATGGAAACATGAAAAACAAATGAAGTGGAAATACTCAGAGCTTGTTTTTGGAGGAACTGAAGTATTTCTCATCACATATGCTCTTATAATTTTATGGTTGCATGTTTGTCGCTTCTGTGATTCTAAGGAAGAAACTTAAACATCAGATTTGTCAGGCATTTTTTTTTTTACTACTATATAAGTTGTGTTATTTTACATTTTGAAATACCCTGAGCCTTTTGGGATCACTACCTGGAGATATATAAACCAATATACTGACAATGAAATCTAACACCATATAAATCTTGCCTCTTCTGCAGTTTTACAACATTTTAATCTGACCTAAATTCAACTAATGCATTCTAATATTTGTAATTGTTTTGAACAAGTGTGGGCCAAAAGTTAAGCTAAGCTGCAGCAATGCATGATTTCTAAATTTGGTAAAATGGAAGTCAGGAAAATGTCTGTAATTCAGCCATTAAATTGTTTAGAATTTTCAGATCTAAATATAAAAATTTAATGTGATCCAACGTAGATCATATATGAAGAAAACATTCTCTCAGCTAGGAATGGGCCCCATCTGCAAAGCTGAGACCACGATCTGCCTCTGGATCCAAGTTTTCCAAATGTTCTGGGATACTAGGGCTTTAGATTGCAACTCAAGCTCATGTTTGATATAAACAATCACATTTAATTTCATACACTTCTAAACTCAGACTTTCATTTTACTTGGCCACACTTGGTATTTAAATACACTTATTTACAGTATTTTAAATGGGTTTTACAATAAGAAGTTGCCGTGGGGAAGGTTGACTACAGACTGGTCACAACAGAACCCAAAACAATGCCCCAAAAGAACAAAATGTTCAGAATCATTAGGTCAGTCTCGGTACATATTCAGACTCCTGCAAGTTGTTGCTAACCTCTATGACCTTTATGGATTTTTGAACATAGAGAGGTATCAGTCCCCTCATTTTAAGAGTAAAAGCAGTTTTTTTCACTATTTTTTTAAAAGACAATTATTTTTATGTCAAAGTACAATGTCCCAATTTTTGATGTACTAAGCAACTGCAACTCAAGCTGAATTCAGAAGCTTGCTCAAAAACAGCAAGAAAGATGCCCTTAAAATCACTGCACTCAAAATAAATTAGTTTGCTGTTGTTTAGAATTGACCTTCTAAAATAGGCCCATAGGATTAAGATTTTCAACTCAGCGAAGTTAGCAGTACAACATATAAAATCTTTTCTTTTTAAGCTGTATCAGACACATCAATCAGGAACAGAAAGCGCTCAGTATCTTCCAACATGCAAACGGTCTGCTGATTTATGTATTTATTCACCATATTATTCAGATTCACTGAAAGCATAAGGGTCTTGATCCTGTAGTAGAGTACACAGTAAGATTGTACGGTACAGTATGTATATATGTAAGCACAATTAAAAACTCTGAGTACCTAGAAAATATGTAGATCACTATGTATGAATACACAGAAGAAAATGTATCACCAATTTATTAGTATTACATTTCTGAGAAATAATTTATTTGGCAGAAATCAGTATGTAGTAGATTAAAAAAAAGCAGTTATGCCAATTATTTAGACAATTGTAAGTCTAAAGTTAGCCCACAACTAAGTATTCTTGGGATCAGACCAAGTATTAACATGACTCAAAAGCTACCTAAGAGATAGGGAGAGAAAGTAGAAAGAAATGATTGAGTTTTATTGAGCAGAGATGAAAAACAGATTTCATATTAAGGCCTCTAGTGTAGATGAATTGGAAAGGGGCCAACAATACAGCAGCAGCATTTGCAAATGAGTTAAGTCAGTCAGTTGAGAGAAGACGTTGAAGAAGTTGAGAAGTCTTCCACCCTACTAAGTTGTTGAAGTTGAGAAGTCTTCCACCCTACTAAGTGAATAGTCACTAAAATGGTAAATACTATGACTAATGACATAATACTAATGATAAATTACTGTCTTGAAGAAAAAATCCTTTATAAATACATGTTATGGGATTCTAAATTAACTCTTTGATAATCTCGAAAAACTGAATTGGGCATCACCCCAAACAGGCATTACCCCTGTATGATAACAGCTCTGTTCAATCTGCAATATGACAGAAAAATGACTAAGATGTTAGGAAACATGTGGAAGAGAATGAAAAATAATTCTGGAGAAATCAGGCATAGCTCTGTGCCATTGCCTTTTCCGCAATGTTGACTGTGGGCCACCTCAGTCTGAAGAAGGATGTTCTGGAATTGAGGCTCGAGAGCTGCAACAGAAGCAGGAGCAATTCTCAGAGGAATAATGATTGAAGTTTTGAACAGTTTATCTCAGAAGATAAATAGAATATGTGATAAAGGTATAAAACAATGACATGTTGTTCAGAAGCTATAACGAGACTGTTGCACATAGCAGTAACAAGGCAGTATTCAACTTAAACTGAAAATTTGCAAAATCAAAAATGGCAAACAGTTCTTCACGCAATACAGTGACTGTGGAACTTGCTGACATAATGCACCCATGAAGACAAGGGTTTAGTAAGGTTTAGACAGAGGCTGCACATTTACTTGGAGTTCACAAAAATACCTGGCACTAACAGTTAAGGCTGAGGGTACCGCACCTCGAATACTGTGTTCAGTTTTGGGCCCCTCACTACAAGAAGGAC